TACAACTGGTACAACAAAGAGTTAAAATATAATGATGGACTCCTTTTTTTTTATACAGTGTATTGTAAAAAGAGTATTGAGCCATTACTGGAAAGATCCTCTTGATACAAGGATACTCAGGTTTTTAAGAAATTGTCCGTGTTTCAATTATTCATTGATATCAATCAACATTAGATTAATTAATTAATTAATTAATTAATAGATATATCTGGCCAAAATGCATGCTGGTAACTACAGTCTATCAATTTTCCAGAACAGAGAAGAGTGATTAATCATTCTCCTGGGTACATGTCTCCACCACTTTAGAGTAAAATGCTGGCATGTTTTACACCAATGCTCCAACACTGTGCATAAATCATGATTTTAATATCAGCCATTTCTAAAATGAACACTTCTTAAAGTCTGGAGGTCTTTAGCAGTTGTCTCTCTAAAAAGAATACTGTGCAGACAGATAATGGCTGCTTCACACTTCACACCTAGGTGTCCATGGTGTTGCTGTTTTGTGAAGTACAGTTGCCAGCCATGAAAAGACTGTTCTGAACCTTGTTAGAAACTCCTTGACATCCCAAGGTCTTATTAACTGCACTCTGAGTTTCTTAACGATCTAAGAAGGTAGGCTTCTTAGGTTTCTTTCCTATAACCATTTTAGAAAAGTAATAACAAGCACACTTTCTTCAAAGTTAATTATTGCTAACCAAAAAAAGACTTAAGCAGCTCACTTTTCAGTCTACGGCAATCAGTAAAAGTTACATGTGTTTATGATTTACAATAATCAAATTAAATTACATGATACTGTAAAAAAACAAACAAACATCTAAATATGTTTTATATCTATTGAGATCCTTTGTAAATACTTTCTTATGCCTCTATACACTCTACCCAGTAGATTTTCTTTTTCCGGGTGGATCATCAAAATAATTGGTCCTCCTAATTGTCAATCATTCTGGTGACATGTTTACATAAGTCCGTCCGACGTGCTCATCGCCATTTTTACTTACCGGTGGCGAGTCTGACATAGTGGAATCATTTCAAATCTTCTTTTAAAAAGTAAGCTTGTATGAGCGACGCAAACAGCAACTTTTAAACAGAGCGTGCACGAGGAGAAATGGGCTCGTGCACGCTCTCGCATGCATTTAATAGGCGTTCCCTCTCTGATGCGGGTATAGGGTAGTGCATGTGAAGAGCGCGGTTCTTCGGGAAAATTCTCCAGAAAGTTAGTAAATATATCAAAAACTGTCCCTAATAGGTAACATAAACCAATACACACACACAAACATGAAACAGTGCAACATTTCAGACATAGTGTAAAAAAACTTTGGCTATGACTTTCAGTCTAAAAACAAAAGAGGCTTAAATAAAAATCTGATTATTAACCATAATACAATATTTGGAGCATTAACTTGATTCTGTTGTGATTTTGTCATTTTTCTTTATCTTTTGTTGGAAATCTTTTGCAGCTATCAGGACTAGGGTAATTTAAGATCAAATTTATGTCTGTGGAGTACATTTGTAGCTCTTAAATATTAAATATTCTAAGTTATTTATTTAAGTTAAAAGGTGAAACAAATGTATTAGAAAAGTCCAAGTCCCTGATATCCATGTTAAAGTAAATGATAAGATGAAATCCAGTTTCTCATAAAATGGTAATATATATTACATCAGAACAAAAAAAAAGGTTTGTTAGAGCCCAGACAACTACATGGAAATGTATTAATTAAAAACTGTCATTGACTTTATGACAGGCAGTTGATCAAGTCCAGCATAACAAGGAAACGTATAATTAAGGAAGGACACTTGAAAGAAAACAGTGGAAGGAGAAAAGGAATAAAAACGAAAAGAAAACAAAGGAGGGGAAATGGAAAAAGGAAAACAAGGGGGTAAGGAAAGAAGGACACAAGGAGGAAAAAGGAAAAATACACAGAGTAGAGGAAAACACAAAGGAAGGACAATATAGACAGTGAATTGAGGAAAGGCAATAAAAAAAAAGAAGGACAAACAAAAGAAAGAAATAAAGCCTAAAATAAATACAATAATTTTTAAATAATCTTATTTCTCTCATATGCTTATAAAGACCAGGAAAACAGGTTATTAAAATTCCAGACTTTCCTAGGAAGCTTTCAAAATCTGGTCTAATAATCTAATTTCAAACAGTAAAAATGAGATCAAGACTGCTGGGATTCCTTAGCCTCAGCAAAACCATAACTGCTTCTTTGCAATGCTGCACTGGTGCAGTAATGCATGCATCATACACTGTATACTGCACAATACAATGACATACTGTAGTAGCTTTTCACTTTTACCATCAACAGTATCCTGAAAGATAAAGATATCCAAAAAATGGCGCATCTTTTTATGTACAGCGAATGTATACACAGGTTTCACTCTGTTAGCTATTGAAATAAATGTACTTTTCATTCACATCCTATTTCATGAAGATGCACCTGATTTTTTTGGTTAAAAAAAAGTTTCACATTGTAGTTTTGACTAAGCCTCAGAGACATCTTCACACAATAGCTAAGATCTCTTGGGTATCAATGTCTCTGTTCAAACACTGTGATATCAGGTGTCCAAGGTGATCCAACCCCATGTGGACAGCTTTAGGTACATGTGTTCACACCTGGTTTACAAGGAATTCTGAGTGACCTTTAATCACTTGTAGGGATTACAAGTGTATTCGTTTTTCTTAGCCAACAAATAAAATAGTTATGTTTTATTCATACACTTACTTTGAATGTTTCCACTGTTCAAATAGTGACTGAATATTTTTTTTAAAACCAAGTGTTATTATAAATGAATTATTTTGAGCACCTATATTCTAGCATATTTCATTTCTAACAAACATTTAAAGTGATGTGTGGTGTCACTACAAATATTTAAAAAACTGATTTTACATAAGAGAATGAATGTCACAAGGGAGAGACAGCTCAAAGAAGAAAAGAAAAAAAGGAGCACCATGAAAAGAAAGAAGAAATGTAATAAAGAGAGAGCAGGACACAGGAAAGTAAGATCCCTGGGGATGGCGAGTAAAGGGAGAAGGAAACAAGAGAAAAATGTAAAAAAGACAGTAAAGGAAAAAAGGGAAAGGAAGGGCTGAAGAAAAAGGGGAGGAAGCTATAGCAAAGGGAAAGAGGGAACAAGAGGAAGAGGAAAAAGGGACTAAGAAAGAAAGAACTGAGAAAACTAGAGGGAAAGAGGAATTAAACACTAAATGAGGAAACTCTGAACATAAAAGCCTTTTTCCAAAATCTGTTGTTGTTTTTTTTTTATTATCCAGAGCTGAAAAAAATGCTGACATAAAATTTCAGACTACTACACATTTTTCAAGACAGGAAGGAATCATTTTAGAAATAAATTACTATGGACCCATTAAACTTCAAATTGTAAACATAACCAGAAGCTGATACTAAAAAAAAAATCAGCTTTGTCAAAACCATGTTCTAACAAGCAGGATAATGTGCTATAAGCTCCCTCAATGCATTTATTTAAAAATACTATGTAAGATGTAATAGGAGAATAACAGAGAGATGAACGCATATTCCGTCTTTTACTTAAGCTGATGATTGCTAGTACTTCCCAATACAACCAACTCTCAGATGGGCTGTAAATAGAGTTTAATGTGTGCCCTAAAAAGCAGAAAGAGAAAACACACATCTGCTGTGTTTAGGTAAGCAGCAGTTGCTATGGTTACAGATGAGCACCCTCTAAACAGTTGTGTGTAAAGCCATTATGAGCTGCAGCTCTTCGGCTGCACATGCACATATTTACACACAAAAAAATGGACGAATTGCTATAAGCTTTGGTGTTTAAAAAAATACGAATAACACTTATTAGGAAAAGAGGCTGAACTCTTATTTGCTTCTTATAGAATAAAATGACCTGAAAAAATAACATGCATCACATTTGTGCTTGGAGTTAGCAAGTGTACTTGTCTGGGAGGTAATGTGCTATTTTAGGCTGAACTACCACAAAAATGTCTCACTTTATATCAATTAAGTCAGAATCACAGTTAATAGAAACTGGACAAATTCAACAAAATACACTTAACAGGAGCAAAAAAAGACCATTTGTAAGTCACTCTAGTCATTTAAAAACTCCCCTTGAATATTTTGACATACCATCCAGTCCATCTATTTTCAACCCACTTATTCTAGCAAGGTCATATGGAGGCTGATGCCTCTCCCTCATAGTATTTTTTTATTTTAATAGAAATACATTATGTTTTTACTTTCACCCCATATTTATAATTATTAAAGTATGTATACATGGCCAAATGGGAATGCTGTAGTACATTTAAAAAGACTAAAGTAAAACTGGGACTGAGCCTGAAGGACTGCGGCAAGCCTTGGCATTGTGTTCCCACTAATACCATTTCATTTCATCACCAGTGAATCTTAGTCCTTCCAGTGCCAAAGGCCTATAGCCAAGAATCATCAAACACCTCTTGCAAGATTTAAAAAATGACATCCCACTTCTTACCTAGATGTCACCGCAAAGGCTTATCCTATCCAAAAGTTTAACTGAGGACATTTTTGTCCGATACAATAGAAACTGAAATAAAATGATCCTGTAGGCGTAGAAGCTTGCTGTGCCACAAAAACACTGTTAGACAAACCAGGCACCATCACATTTCTAAACTGCACATCTCTGTCTTTATATCTGATTATGTCGGCGCTCTGCAGACTTTGCAGAGGATATGACCTTAATATACTCTAAATCCCCTATCTGGCTTTGTTGAGAGATAAAGAATCAAAATCTGCAAGTCAACAGTTTATGGAATATCAAAGTAAAAAGTAGCCAGTTTGAGGCTTGTCTGAGCCTCCAAATGGCCCATACCTTGCATACCTTATGAATCATGAATAATAACAGGTGAAAAACACAAGATGCTTAACAGCGGCACATTGTCATAACAAAATCCAGGTACGATATTGATTATCTGTCAAGAATCATTAGAATAACCAAGCAACCGTCTGCTCCAGAAGTGACCGAAGATGCGAACTCACCAGGACTCTTCCTGTCAGCGTCTGAGCGGATATCATGACTCCAGCCCAATCTTTCACTGACGTCATCCAGCCCACCTCGCTCGCCGCAGCATCCTCTTTGTCTGTACGCTTAATGCCATCGCCAGTGGTGATCCGGTGCACTTCCTAAAAATAAATATACAGTTCCAAATTAACAGGAGAGTTTTATATTTATGTAACATGTTTCTAAAAAGCTTTCTAAGAAAAAACAAGCTCTTGTGTGTAATTTTAAGTTGATCCCTTAAGAAATAGCCACTTTTAGGCAGTCTCCTTTATGAAAACAAGCCCAAAATGTTAAAATAAATACAAGGTTATTTCAGGACACTTTATTGCAATCCTACTTCAGTTTTCTTTATACAAAGTTTTCTTAGTCACTGATATAAATTTGTTTTCTATCATCTGTAGTTATACAACCTAGATAATATCTAAACCAAGATGGATATTTCTAGATAGTTTGTTTTCATCCGACATCATAATATGAGTTTATTAGAATCAGTCGATCATAGCTATTTACAATTACATCTAAGGCAAAACAGTAAAATTTACAGACAATTATCTTTAGTAGCCATTTAGAGTCTTTTTTAAGTTTTCCTTAAAGCCTTGAGTGATAAGCTTCAACACTCAGTTTAAACAAAAGGTCCAACATAGTTTATATGCAAAAGAAGGACGTTGAGATAAAATACCAGTGTTTATAATCTTATAACAATTTATTCTTTTAAATTGAAATGCTTTATATTTATCTGCATTCAGAGAGAGAACGCAATCCCTTTTCCTATTCATGTTTATGTCAGGTAAACTGGTAGCTCTTTTAAAAGATTTATTGGCATCACTTACTGAATTAGCATCTAAATAAAAATAATAATTAAATTATACAATCTATTATTTTTTTCTGGATAAGGGCTTTACAAAGGTGCATAAAAATAATATCAGAGATTCAAAAATATTATTCTATTTTTAACAATGGGGATAAAGGCCTCCAAAACAAACCTACGCACATGTTTGCACACATGCATTTGGTAAACATTGAGAGAGAGAGCAGCAAAGACACTCCGGGAGTGTATCCATGGCAGCCACTGAGCTCCTGGTGTTTCTGCTTCACTGAGTGGGCTGCCTGCAAGCCTGCCTATCTGACTGTCTTTCTTACTGCTTTTCCATCTGTCTGTTGGGACTGTGATGACTCACGGTGCAGGAAATCAAGACAGGATGCAGAGGTGAGCCATGTTCCCTGATGAAAGAACCTGCAGCCACGAGGCTTTTCTTTAGTACCCTGCTCACATCACTCACCCCAAGGCCTCACTCATCCATCGACACCTCTCTGGTTCAACATTTAAAAAGTAGACTACCCAGTCATGTGGTCACTATTAATGTGTGTCTTATCTGTTGAACCCCCATTTCCGAGTAGCAGGAGTCATACCTGGGAGTTTAGCATACTACATTTTTCAGCAGCAGGGTGGACAACAGTGTGTCCCTATTATAGGGGCAGTTAGCTGCAAAGAACTCCTGGCATGTGTCATGTGTTGTGCCATCACTCTACCATTCATCTTTGTGAATTGAGAGAGAGGAGGGCATTGCTGCATTGAATAAAGGGGTCATTCAAAATAGTTTGCAACATAAATATATGGGCTAAACGGTTGTATTGGAAAAATGTTTTTCTGCAGTTTTGCTGTGTGAAGAATGAGAAAACAAGATTTACATGGATGTTGCTTAAAATCAAGGGCAGTGAATGTATTTCAATTTTTTTTATTTTTGTAAATCAATTCACACAACACTAATAAAGGTACTCATACTCGGTTCTATCTAGGACACGGGTCGTGAAAGTCTGAGGAGACTTCCAGACTTCCCTCTTCCCAGACACCTCCTCCAGCTCCGCTGGGGGATGCCCAATGCGCTCCCAGGGCAGCCAGGAGACACAGCCTCTCCAGCACTGTCTTGGGTTGTCCCTTGTGCCTCCTCCCGCTGGGACATGCCTGGAACACCTCCTGGGGGAATCGTCTAGGGGATATCCAATAAAGCAGTCTGAATCACCTCAGCTGATTCCTCTCAATGTGGAGGAGAAGCGGCTCTACTCCAAGTTTCTCCTGGATGACCAACCTGCTCACCCCATCTCTAAAAGAGTTTACAGACACTCTGCGTAGAAAGCTATTTTTAGCAACTTCTATCCAGAATCATCTTCTTTCAGGTATGATCCAGATTTCATGACTACAGAGCTTTGCCTTTTCTTTAAACCCTCTCTTGAGCACAACAACAACATCTGCAAAAAGCAAAGAGGAAATTGACTGGTCACCAAACCAGACCTCTCAGGCCCTTGGCTGCACCTAGAAACCCTGTCCATAAAGGAGGTGGGAGTTGAACACATCTCTGACCCAGTGCTATACTAATAAATTTTCACCAGAAATTTTCAGCAGAATTTCTGCCAAGTCTGTCCAGCTTCCACCCCTCCAGCGTATCCAACACACCACCAGGTGGTGATTGGTTTACAGCTCTGCCCCTCTCTTCACCCGTATTTCCAGGATATGCAGCCTAAGGTCAGATGATGTGACCACAAATTTCGATTATCACCCTCTGGCCTAGAATGTGCTGGTGCCAAGCCCACCGACGGACATCCTTACATTTGAACAATGTTCATTATGTACAATCCATGAGTTGTATAGAAATCCAATGATTACACACCACACGGATTCAGAGCAGGGGGTCCGATCCTCCCGATCACGCCCCTACAGGTATCGCTGTACTCTCCAACATGGGTGCTTAAGACCTCCAACAGCATAATAGAAATCTCAATCATGCATCTACTTAAACTTAAGATTATTATGTCTATAAATACAAAAAGGAAATAAAACAGTAACACTCCTTTAGTTCCAATGTTAATACAGTTAATACATTTTGTGTTTTGCTTTAATATTAATGTCTCTTTTGCAAATTCCACTGTAGCCCAAAGTATCATTCTTTTTTTCCTATCGGAGTAATGTCACATGCTATAAATCTCCAGCTGCTTTAGAAAATAACTGAAACCTCTCTGAAAGATTGAAATGCATATTTGTGAGCTGTTCTTAAAGATTTAACTCCTGATAAATCAATCATGTTGAGTCCGAAGGCAGCTACACAGTGACAAACACTGCTGAGATGTAGATAATTGTATGCATGGTGAATTTCTTTATGGGAATTCTAAAAGACATAAATAATAACTGGTTTAAAAGATTTAAGGGATTTTTTTAAGAACGTGTCGACTGGAAACCGTCCTTGATAAAATAAATGTATTCTGTTTAATCTGCTGTTGAATTTGTTGAGTTAAAAGTCAAATCCATCCCCACACTAATGCTTAATGCTAAAGTAAATACAGAAATAGTTTCTAAGTGAAATAACATTTGCATATGTGCTAGAGCTGTTATTTCTACAAGTAGGGAAAAGGGCAATCAAGACCTTATTCAAGCCATGCTTTTTCAGTTGCAGGTATGAATGTTCACACCGATCACTCCTACGCGACAAGCTCAAGAAGAGAAGTCTAACCCAAAGGAGTCAATAGTTTTTGTTTACAGAACTGTGGCATCATTCTGGATGCCTGACTGAAAATGTACAGTTACAGAGAAATTAATACAAAAAAGCATTGTACTTTTTTCACGCTGTTGACCAGAGCATCCCTAATAGTGTTCCTTTTTTAAAACAATGACGATAAAGTTTTATTCTGTTTTAAGGTTAACATTCAAAACAAATTGCCATGAACTGTGTCTACTCCCTGTTTCTGCTGCCTGAGGCTTTTGCAGGAATTTGAGTGCTATGGTGGTGGGTTTCACCTGCACCGAGGGATGTAGGGTTGGTAAAAGGGATTAAAAACCCTGGATCTCCTCCTGCTTTTCTCTGGACTGGGACTGTTGAGCCCCTGCTTTACTGCCAACCTGCTTTCATGTTAAAGACATGGTTCTGCCTGGGGCTGCTGTGACCTCTGGGAGCAGAAGCTATCTGCCCATTTCTGCTCCTCAATGCTGTTTTCTGCGAGGCTACTACTCTTGCCAACATGGAAATACAATAATGTGATAAACTTCGGCTGGCTTTATTAAACATTTCTTTATTTTTAAATAAAAAGTATCTCTAAATCAATTACTTAAGTACATAGCATAATCTTGATGTGGTTTATCCAACAGTAAATAATGTTGCCCTGTCTTATTACTTTACTATATAACTTTAAAGGATAATTTATGCTTACTTTATTTTACAAAGAAATTTTATCAGGGAATACCAGCTAAAACATATATCCAAGTTTACTCTTCTACCGTATTTTCACGACCATAAGGCGCACCGTACTAAAAGGCGCAGTCTCAGCTATGTGTGCCATTACTGTATTTAACACACACATAAGGCGCACCGGATGATAGGGCACAGGTTTTATATACCGGTACATATCCTCTACTACGTTAAAATACCTCTACTGCGTATTTAAAAATAGCGTGGGAGCAAAACTGAGTATGTTTGTGCTTTATTAATGTATTTATTACAAAGTATTAATCAAACCTGGGAGCTGGCTGTGGGACAGACACATCGCTGATGACACAGAGCGCTGTGATCACTCCTCTGAAACAGTTTGACGCATAAATTAACTTAAAATGCAGAAATCTGCCGGCAGAATATGTTCGCTTTTATTATCCTGGTGCCTGCAGTATAGATTATTTAGATGAAAAACACCTACCAGCTGCCATGGTGAACCCATAGGAGGCGACCCGGCCCGAGGCTGCTGTTAAATGGGATTCCTACTGACAGCACACCGCTGGTATGTGGGGGTCTGAGCGGCTCCGACAGAAATAATATTGGAAGATGGGATTGTAATCTGGATGAACTGACTGCAATGATTAAGTTTTCAGGTGGACTTTCTCACTTAAAAACACATTAAAACTACTTTATACCCACTGATCACAGCAAATATCTTTGCAAGGCAAAGAAAGGATAGAGTAGCTCCGCCCAACGCGCGTCAGAACTAACTGGTACAAGCAGCAAAAATGAGGCAACAGACGCGATTTTGCTGCTCTTGCAGCGTCCGGTGTGAACGTAGCATTAATTTGAACGGCCGGTTCACACCGATGTCGAGCAGTTGAAGTTCCTTTGTCAGAATAACAGCGAGCACAGCGTTCATTTGT